TCCGATCTGGCCCACATATCAGAACAAACCGCCCAGTCGTCCCATAGAGATACACTTTTCTTGAGCAGTTGGAAGGTATAAGATTTAAATTTAGCCAGTTTTCTTTGACGTGACTCCTGGAAATTTAAAGTTCTGTAATATGAATCAATTTTACAGTTCGATAGCCGATGACTTTCCTGTAGCTGTTTAAGGTGGCCCGAACCTATTTATATGCGTGTTGGTTATGTTTTTGATTTGCGTTTTTCAGAATGAAAGATTCAACCGATTTCTATGATTTTTGTGATCCTTAATAAATGATAATGGAACTTCAAGAAAATGTTATTTATTTTCTTGTAGGTATAAAAACCTTTGAGATATCGGCATATATTTAAAACCACATTTTTACGAAAAATGTAAATAACTTCGAAATCCCACAACTGATTTTTCTCTAACTTCAGCAAGTAAGCCTCAGTGCTCTCTAGTTTTACATGTGCAAGTTTGAAGGTAATTGTGACCGTAGAACTCGCTGCACAAAATGCTGGTCAATTTTAACCTTAAAATGCTACGCTAACACATTTGTGAAAGTTGACGCACAACTAGAGGAAGACTGCCGACAGACTATCTCCTATCTGAAAGGATTTTCCTACCTAAAGCTTTATTGCAAGGAACAGAGTAATCAGAAACTTACGGCGAATGCAGTTAGCACCTTAAGAAGAACATTTTAAGCTGAGTGCGCGGTGATATGAAAGAATATCTATTCATCAAACTTACTTTGTATTTGTCCCTCTCTTTTGGAAATAAATCTTAACAAAGCAAAATATAGCGTCTACGAAAAACTGTCAAGAGTTTTTAGCGTCGTAGGTTCCCGTTGTGAAGAGAAATAAAGCCACCTACTCCAGTACTTGTAACCACCCATTTTTCAGCTGCAATGAAAACCCTTGAGGAAATGACGTAAAAAATGCAGCGTTCTTGCAGGTCAATGCACTGTTAACCGAGAAAACCTAGGGACGAGGTTGAGTTGTTTTCAGTTGTGAACTTGAAAAATGGCGGACATTTCACTCGTTTCAAGAGTAAGAACTAGGCGAAAAAATAGCTAAAAACATGGCAAGAACAGCAAGAAGACAACTCGAAGGGTAACATGTGTTATTTGGAGAATATTTGCAGAGCTGAACAACCCTAAACGTGCACTATCGAAGATGAACTTAACATCGATGGATCGATGGAGGTAAGCATGTTTAGCCATGTTTTTAAACTAGGAATTATTTTGAATGAATAATAAAACAATTATTGAATTCGGCTTTCGTATCATATGAAGGATTATGGAGATCTGGGAGGGTGTTATCCGCCTTGGTCTACGGTCTCGACGGATACCACCCTCCTCGTTCTCCATAATTCTTCATAAGATACTCAGCCTCATTCATTAATTGTTAATTAAGTCACGGTGGGAGTTTTTTTTGTGGGGGGTGAGGGGATGGGGTGGGTCTGTGGCTTATATTATTGAACATGGGTTCTCAAACTCATTAATAATTCATTAAGAAAATACAAAGGAAATTAATGTTTAATGAGTGTTTGGAAATCGGATGAAACACTGCTTAGTATTTGCATCCTTAATTTCTCCTTCAAAAATGATTTTGTTTGAGAAGAAATATCAAACATTCGACACAGTGTTTCATCACCAGATGAAACACCTCGAAGTTCGTCAAAAATACTCCGCTGCGCGTCGTATTTTCAACTCTTTTTTTCGGTGTTTCATCTGGTGATGAATCACTGCATCTCATGTTTGATATATTACTTATTACACACTACATGAGAAATCATGCATTCTGGAAATAGAAAACTAAAAAAGTAACGAGACAATTTGAACCTCTTTAAGATTTTGTTGATTTAAAGTGACTTAAGGCGACTAAAGGCGACCTACAAATGTGTTAGCGTAGCATTTTAAGGTTAAAATTGACCAGCATTTTGTGCAGCAAGTTCTGTGGTCACGATTACCTTCAAACTTGCAGATGTAAAACAAGAGAGCTCTGAGGCTTATTTGTTGAAGCTAGGGAAAAATCAGTTGTGGGACTTCGAAGTTATTTACATTTTTCGTAAAAATGTGGTTTTAAATATTGGCCGATATCTCAAAGGGTTTTACATCTACAAGAAAACAAATAAAATTTTCTTGAAGTTCAATCATCATTTATTTGGCATGGTAAATAAACATCATAGAAATCGGTTGAATCTTTCATTCTGAAAAACGCAAAAACATAACCAACACGCATATAAATAGATTCGGGCCACCTTAATGGAGGTAACCAGGAGACGATTACTGAGGTAACTAAATTTTTTCATTGTTTTTTTTTTCTGTTCGGAAACTAAAGTTGGGGACGTTTGCGCTTCCTACAACCGATTACGAACAATCAGTTTTCATCCCGGAACTGTCATGTGCGTGAAAATATAATAAAAAGCAAGAGCCACTATGGCTCTTAGTGAAAGGACATTTTTTGGTGAGAATTTTTTTTTGGAGGGGGTGGGGGTAGAAAGAGGGGGGGGAAGGGGACGAGTGGGAACGAATAGGTCGGCGGACAGGTAAAGGAGAAAGATGTTGCCGCTTAATTGCAGGTTAGGGTCGCACTCACAGCGTTAAAAATCTGCCTTGTTAACTCTGAAGTTATTATCTTGGAACACACCGATCAATGCCTTATTATATTCCCATAGGTGCTGTTAAGTACGCTTTTTACACCTTGTTTTTGTTTGTTTGTTTGTTATTTTCCCCTTTTATTTTTTAATAC